GACCCCATTATTAATCTCCTTTTCAATCCTTTTACAACTCTATTTAATTTATTGTAAGGACATTGTCAGAGATTTTGCTCATGTAATTGGTGCAGGATGGTAAATTAGATGTCGTAAAGTTCAGTGCCTCAGCCCTTGATGTTGTTGTTGTCCTTTAATTGCTCCGATAACAGCAGAAATGCATTTTTAACTGCTAATGAACCCGTTGTGGTCAGAGCCAATGTCAGATACTCCAAGGGTGAGATTAAAGGACTTCTCTCACTAGTCATAAAATAGCCATGAGCTCAGTCACTGGAGATGGAGTCAAGGTCTTTGCACCCACTGCTAATTGAGCCTTTATCTTAGGCCAGCTTGTACATGGGGTAAGGTGGATACTACATGCTACTCTGCTACAGGGGTGGTTTACTTCAGAGTGTCATGTCACGTAGCCTAATATAATTTATTTAGATTTTGTCTTCGTATTTTTTTTATTAAATTATAACTGAACAAACAAAAAGGAACGCTGGTAGTAACTGATCTTTCTGTTTGGAGTTTGTATAATTTCTCTGTTTGATTCTGTGTATCAAAACCATACAGATCAGGGATGAGGTCACATCTCTGTAGCCAATCATTTACAGCTTTGTTCTGCAAACCAAGATATTGCTACTTTGAGCCCACCCAGGGACAGCATTCAGGCTACTGTAGTGCGTGGATCCATGGGATATCACCATGGATCTGTACAGTTATCACGCCTGCTTTACACACCTGCCTTACATGCAGAAGGGTCCTGGGTTCGAGTCCCAGATGAACCACATACTTAATGGTGCCTCCAGTGGCAGTCTGTGTGAAGAGCAAAGACTCACACTGTTAATTCCTTCATTGTGGGAAAAAGAAGGAATTAATATTGTTTACTCTGAATAACCCATAGGTATGAATGTGTGTGTGCAGAATTTGAACGGTCCTACTGGGATCAACTTCCTGCTCCACTGAAATTATGAATGTAAAACCAAACAAATAAATAGAGGCAAATATATGTGCCTAACATTTCTTTAACTTCACATAATACAAAACCTCCCAATTTCATGTTCCATTTTATCCTAGTACTGTTCACTGAAGCACGGGCACATTGTTTTACTTCTTTTGTTTTTGTAATATAAAACATTCATCAGAAAGTGGTTAGTTGCCCAGAACAGTCACAGAACCAGAGGCAGCTAACCGTAGATACAGACAACAAAAGTGAAAGACCAATCATGGGCAGTTGTTAACCACTGTAGTTATTTTACAGCTGTTATTTATAGACACACTTAAACCGGTGAAGGTACAACAGCTCTATGATTCCCTCATCTGTTTCCAAGATGCTTTTTTTTTCTCTGCAAATAGGTGTAGACGTGAACACATGTTGTCTTATGACCTGTGAATAAACATATGTTTTCCCCAGGAATGTGTCTTTCATGCTCAAATTTCAAATTATGCAGAACTTTAATTGCCGGCCCATGATGGGGGTCTATGAGGAAGCTTGAAAGAGCGTATGCTCACGTCGACGTTAAATTAGTAAGACGGTGGTGGGTGGCTGTGCTGGGAGGAGGTTTACAAACTCAGCAGAATGATTGAAATCCCTGCTGCAAGCTGATGGTTGCTCAGGTGATGCGGCACAAAAAATAGCAGCTCTCACAGCCAACAGCAGACAAAGAAAGGCGTGACGTTGCTTCCTTATGAGAGCGGATTAGAAGAGAATTTGTCCCGAGTTGAATCTACATAGAGCTTCATAACTAAATGTAAATGCAGTAGAAAGAGAGAAAAAAGAAGATATGGGAGTTAAAGTGAACAGGAATCTTCTTATTTTCTAAGTAAATATCATGCTATCGTACAGGATACATATCCTTGGGTATCTTTGCTTAATTTCATTTTGTAAACAATAAACAAGGGGTAGAGGAATAGATCACTATCATGGGGACAAATTATGGTACAAATCCCTATGTGTGTGCCCTTCTATGGAAAGGACTATTGTCAAGTCACCCCAAACCAGTCACCTCCAAAATGCAGCGAACTGTTTCAAACACTTATTGAATCACATTTACCAACATGCAGTTTCCCCACTGGGGCAAAAATGAAGAAGATATTGAAATTTTGTAGTAATTTTAATAAGCTGAGATGAGACCACCTGGTATTAATGCCAGAATTCCTTCTTGGGACCACTTCTTCGAGAACAACTGCTTTAACCCTTGTGCGGTCCTTCCCATTTTTGTACACACCATTTGTCCTTGCAATGATTTTCATCTTGTCCCAGAATATGAGTATTAATGAATATGAGGAAAAGCTGGCACAAGTCATGCAGTACAGGAACATGCGCATGCACACATACGCACGCACACACACACACACAAGGGTTAGGAGAGAGAGACACACACACAGAGAGGAAGAGAAATAATTGCTACATACTCTGTAAGTACACCAGAAAAGTTTTTCTCTCATTATTGATTATTATCCATCCATCCATCCATTTTCATCCGCTTATCCGTTACCGGGTCGCGGGGGCAGCAGTCGCCACCCAAATCACACTGCACCGTACCAACCCCCCTAAACCTTCCTGCGGGTGGTGAGTCCACTGGAAGGTTTATTGATTATTAGTGAAAAAAAGAAAACGACTCAATAACTACTTTCACCACCTAGTTTAAGATGTATGTATTCCAACAAAGTGATATGTTGTTGACATTGACCTGTCTATCTGTTCACACTAACTACTTTCTCACAGTGAGTGTGAAGAAAGACTTCACACCAAGCCATGGGTAATAAACTAAAGAAGTGGCAGGAGTCACAGGTTATTCAGCAGAATGTCAGAAAAAGTCCATACAGTAGACAAATGTTTAGGTGTTTTGCAGTGGCCCCCAAGTAGAACATGGATATTATTGCAATGTAATATTGTTAAGGAACCAAATCAATCTGATCACAAGGCAGACTGCAAAAATGTACACGCACGGTGAGATCTCTAAAAGCTGTGGTTCATACCGCAAAGAAAAAAAACTGTTGACTCAATTACTACAGATGCTGAGTCCCATTTAGATTTCCTGATCTTCTCTGGCATCACCTTTTTTTTTTTTGGATATGGATATGGATAAGCAGTTGTATCATCTATTGCAATGTCACAGTTTGGATGGAGTAGTAAAAGCGCGTTGGCGCCACTGAAATCTGAAGCAGTAACAGCATGTTGTCCACAGTAACAAATCACTCTTCTCTATCTTGCAGTCTGATGAATATAAAATGTTTGGTTCTGACATTAAACTCACAAGTCTTCTCCTAGATAAATCAGCCAAAGCCCCAACAGACGAATTCCGAAATTCTTGCAGAAATCAGATACAAGTGGAAACTGTCACCACTAGAAATGGCAACCGACTAAACAAAAGCAGAGAAAATCAGACCATATGGTCTGACAAGCTGACTGACAGTTTCCAAATTGATTGCAATGGACTGAAGGCTTTGGGACTCTCAACGTTATACGATCCACCATTAAAATGCACAGTAATGACTAAAATCTGCTGACTATATGATGCTAAAATTTGAGTTGTTCACCCGCATATTTTTTCCATAATTTGAATTAGTCACATACATAGAAACACATCTACCTGCTGTTATTTGTCTTTATGCGGAAGAAATATACCAACAAGAATGTTAACTTATCTTAATTATTAAGGGTGTGTATTGGCAAGAATTTGGAGATACGATACATATGACGATACAGGGGCAACACAATATATGTTGATATACTGCGATACTATAGACACAGTTTATTGAGTTTTTGTTTTTAAACAATGTTTTTGTAGAAAACTGTCAACTGGTAAACACAAAATGCTGTTACATGCTTAACATTAGGAAAAAGGGATCTACATTTGTAATCGCTATAGAAGAAAAGTATTTGCAGGAGTTTTTGGATAAACAAAATGAAATTCACATGTCTATAAACAGTACTTGTGCACATTGTAGGTTATTGTACAATGTTTGAAAATGAATACGAGAATATTACTCTATACTGCCCAGTATTTCTATTTGATTGCGGAGTACTTTGGAAAACTACAATATAGTTGCTGCTTACTTTGCAGTGCAGTTCAAGTAGGGCATAAAAGAATACATTTCCTGTTATAAGATTACCTTACAGATGAACTGAGCTTGACCAAAGCGTAGGCGTCTACTCTGTATGAGTCACGACGGTTGCAATAACTCACAGAAGAAGTCTGAGGAAGCAATTTGTGATTGATTTATGATTGATGACGATGTTTTGTAAGGTTGCAGATTTTTTTTTTTATTAAGTCTATATTTTCTTGTAATAAAATAAATTCCTCTTGTGCTTTTCAAATACTCATACTCACTAAGTTTTAATCAGTAGGGCATGAACAGACTACGGATGCTATTAAAAGCTCTGTAATACTCTTGTATTATGCAGACATATCTGCTCCATTAGCACAAACAGTAGAAGTAGCATTCATATTAAAATTCACCCAGAGCCTACAAGCTGGGCCTCCAGGGAACAGCTGAAGGAAGCAGTTTAAAAATACCAGATTGTTTTTCTCCAGGGCTAGAATGACTCATTAGCCAGCCAGCAAAGCAGGAAGTCTTGTCAATCTTCAAACATGCATATGTTAAAATCCTTTTTCTTTTCTTTCCATTACTTTTTTTTTGCAAGGTAGGACAATAATGATGGGTGGCTGCCATTTGCTGCAGAGATAATCCCCTCTTCTGATCTTGTGGCTCAGAAGTAAAGGATGCTGGGATATAGCTCAGCCAACACATTGCTCAGATAACGCAGTGGCACCGTGACAACTTGCCACCACCAGCTCTTTACGCCAGTCTTTATCTGATAGCTGCTTTGCCACGACGTGTTGTGAAACTAGCACTAATTTGTCAGCAGCTCTCCTCCTGGATGCAGACCAAGGAAGAGTGACTGGGTGTATAAGGGGTTAGAGGGCACAAATCATGTGACACAAATCATGTGTTCGGTACCCCAAATATGGTAAAAGCCCGTAACTTGCATGGAGGTCGGCAAATGTCGGAGGCCTTCAGGAATTCCAGGCGTCCCAGAATCCACCGCTGTCCGAGAAAGTCCGGGGCGGGGTGGTGCGACGCGAAATGTAGACTGGTCGAGGCGCCGCTTTCAGATGGGTACGGGTATCGATTACAGCGTGCACGTGATCCGGTGGGGCATGCCGCATTGGGAATTGTAGTAAAGCGATAGTGATACACGGATGCAGCTATTTAAATACGTAAAACAAAATATTTTTGTCATTAACATTTTTACATGTAGAATGTCTTAACATACAATATCATGGTTTCAGAAAAGGAAAACAACTGGGATTTATCTGTGACAGAACCATCACTTTCACTCTGGGTGGTGCGGCTGACACTGTCATGTTAGCTGTCTCCGCACTATTCCCACCTCTTCAGACCGAGGCCACAGTGAGTTTTCCACACTGTCTATAGCGAGTCTGTCTATCCCATCATGCCTCTTGTGCTTTCACAATTACACAAAGAAGAGTTTGCTCAGATATGCAAACTAATCAGACACGCATGCAAATAAGCTTGGAATCTTGTTAAGGGATACAGACACAGAAATGAGACAAAGCTGTCTGCACCCACGTCTGTGAAGAACTTTAGCAGGCAGAACTTAATGCTTAATATGATTATGCACCTAGACTATTCTGCTTTTATTAAATATAACTTTAGAGATTTGTTTTGACGGGAGAGTAAATTAGTCAAGTAAATAGAATTAAATCTCAAGAAAATGGACAATTGAGCCTAGGAACAATTTGAATTTGAATTTTTTGAGATATTATGAGTCCTGTCAACAACATAAAAAAAAATAGAACACATCACTCAGCCTTAATTACTTTCTCTAACCTAAGTGGTTTCCAAAGTTGGGGCACAGAACTAGCCAGAGCAATGAAAAATCCAGATTTTGCTTGAAGAAATTTGGATCATTTGTAATTTTATTCCTAAACTGTACTGTAAATTGAAAGTAGATTTGTCATGAAAATGAACACTTGGTTTTAGCTAGCCATACAGTGCTAGATGTATTTGTGCAAGTCGTAGAGTATCGAAAGATAAATTTAACACTGTCCCAAATGCTGAGGTTTGTCTTTTGTGTGTTTTGTCGTCCTTTGTCATCCTAATCTACAAGGAATTTTTTTGTTCCTGTATGTACAACTTATTCTTCATGTCCATGCACACACTCGGAAATGCTTCATACTACTAAGAAATATATTTGGCCTTGAGTGGAATATCTCCATTCTCTCTTAGACAATGGCAAAGGATTCACATAATCTTACAGTCTGACTGGTTGGTACTGATGCTCGCCATTAAACTAAGCCCAGCCATTGCAGTTGAGAAGGAGAATAATTGTGTTAGTAAATGTAAAATATAGCTTATTTTAAACTTGGATGCAAACTTGTAGAAGAATTCACCACCCCTCTGCTATAGTTCATCCTAATGCAGCCTGCAACATCATTAGTTATGTCACCACTATTGAGTGGTGAGAGCAAGGAGTGTTTTTAATGGAATTTTATTTAATGATGTCTGCCCACATTACATAACATTTGGTCGTGACTCAACACATCTGGTAGATTTTCACACATTTGTTTGTGTTTTTTATAGGACGTGACATTTACTTTTTACATTTATTATTCCTTAACAGATTGTCCTTTCCCTCTGTTTCTCCAGGAGGACGACTCCTGTTTCTGGTTATGTGGCTGAACCTTGTGCCTCAAACTGACAGCTGCCCTGCAAAGTGTGTGTGCAACAGTGAGCCCAGGCCCACAGTGGCCTGCCAACAACAAGGACTGTTTTCATTTCCTACTGAGATCCCTGTGCGGAGCCAGAGAATATTCCTTCAAAGCAACAAGCTCACAGTGGTCAGGTCCACCAGCTTCAGCTCTTGTCACAACCTAACAGTTCTGTGGCTGTACTCCAATAACATCAGCTACATTGAGGCTGGGGCCTTCTATGGCTTGGAAAAGCTAGAGGAATTGGACATTGGAGACAACAGCAACCTCCGCACCATCAGCCCCACAGCCTTCAGGGGGTTGACCAAGCTGCACACTCTCCATCTGCACCGATGTGGTCTATCAGAGCTGCCCATCGGAGTTTTCCGAGGAATGTTCTCCCTACAGTACCTTTACCTGCAGGACAATCACATTTTAACACTGCATGACGACACTTTTGTGGACCTAGCCAACCTCACTTATCTCTACCTGCACAACAACAAAATCAAGATTGTCACTAACAACATGTTTCGTGGATTAATCAATTTGGACCGCCTATTACTACATGAGAATCGAGTATTCTATGTCCAACCACGAGCTTTCAGTGATCTTGGAAAGCTGAAATCTCTGTTCCTTTTCTTCAACAATCTTACAGTCTTGTCAGGGGAGGTAATGGAACCACTGGCATCTCTCCAATACTTGCGTTTGAATGGTAACCAATGGATCTGTGACTGCCGAGCGAGCACCTTGTGGGACTGGTTTAAACGGTTCAAAGGTTCCAGCTCTGAGCTCGAGTGTGAAGTCCCAGAGTTCCTGGCAGGTAAGGACTTGAAACGTCTAAAAAGTGATGACCTGGAGGGGTGTGTGGAAATGCCTCAAATCCAGACCAGGCTATTTAATGCTAAGACCCAGTCTGGCAAATTCCATTCTACCGAAAATCCAATGGGGGAAACTATTCCGAGATGTTGTCTTGGCGACAATGACAAGTCCTCTATTCTGTCAGGCAAGAGTCGCCAAATCACCAAGAACCCCCTCAAGGAGAAGGAGAACATGTCAAAGACTAAATATAAAGATCCCGAAAGAACAAAAAATGAGACCCAGAGCAAGCAGAATGATGGACCGCTTGGAACCTTATCCAACAATCTGGATGAGTATTTGGAAAACCCAAACCCTGATCTTGTAGACAATCTGGAATCATCAACAGCATCAAACAAAAAGAAAAAGAAGTGTTCCAAAAAGCCAAAATTGGACACCCAATGCAACAAAAGCCAGGCTACTACTTTGCAAGGTCCTTACATTCTTTTCATTCCAATGATCTGGATTTCTCTAGTCATGTCTTAGAACTGCTGATCTCATTCTCAACAAAGGACTCACGATTGTTGATGCTCATGACAATGATACAGAAGATGCAGTGACATCTACATCGGGCAGAGACTAAGAAGCAGGGAGTCTCAATGACCCGTCATGGGTGAGGAGAAACAATCATGACAATGTTACAGTACATTTAACAAAATTGATGTCTTTACAGAACACTACAGATCCAATGTATATAATGAATTGGTGCCCACAATTGTTTGTTCTCTATGTACTTGTACATATGTCTATGTACAACTATGTAGTTGTACTGTGTCTAAGCTACATTTTGGAGACCCCTCCCTTTTTTCTCTCCCCTATGCTTTTACTGCTTTGACGGGATGCTGAGTAAATGAAAAAAGACAAAACACAAAGACAAAAGTTTAAAAAAAACAAAGCACAGACAAAGTGCAAACGAAGAATGTTGGGTCTGTTTGGAAAGGAGAAACGACCCCCCCCCCAACCCTCTGCCCACTGTTATTTATTCAGTGATGCATTTATGTTTTTTATGTTTGTAAAAGCAAATGTTTTACTTCCCCCAGTTTGAGTTGTATTTTCATGACAGAGAGGGTAAATGGGTGGGACAAAAGAATGCTAATGGTTTGTTCATTGAGATTTTGAAGGAACTTGTGTACAAGTATGAACATAATATGAATAAAAGTTCCTATTTTGTAGCTCATGTTGATTTTATGTAATACTTTTGCAAGATATACAAAAACGAAATATAGAATTTGAGTATAATAGTAAAACTGAACTAACAAAGTAACCAACTGTGAACACTGTCTTACTTTATTTATTCCCCATGAAAAAAGTCGTTTCCAATTGCCAAACCATAGGCAGATTGATAAGGAACTTACCAAAAAACGAACTGCCTTTCCTTGTATTTGTCCAAACATCCTGTTAATTTACTACAGTGCAGTTTACAGGATGGTTTTAAAGGGTTACAAATGTATTTTAATGCATTAATAAAGTACATATTGAATGAAATTAATGAATCAAAACTGTCCTTTTAACAGGAGAGCTAAGTAAGACTGGCTATTCGGAACAGATGGCTGACCCACTGTGGCACAGCCATTGTTTTTCAAGGTTGGTGAAGTGATGGCCAACTCTTTTGTTCAAACTGCCTTCGTTTTGTCTAACTTTGCAGACAGGCCTGCAAAGATGGGTGACATCGCTAAAAATATAGAGACAAAGCAAAAAAAAAGTTCACCTTCCTTATACTTTACATTCGAAACTGTCGAAGAAATTTGTGTTATTAGACTAGAAACATATATTACGTTCTGTTACGTTAGTAAGAACCCTTTGGCAGTTAATCTCGCTTTTCCTAATGCTTTGCAAAATATCAAACAAAAACCAAAGAATATGTGGTAATATGTAGTTTAAAACAAGGTCAAATTCAACATCACCACCCACCCATGCCGCATATTTTCACAACTTAAGGGACTACTGCACATGCATAATGCTCAGCCCCAGGCAGCTGGATAACATTTAGCATAACATTAGACGTAGTTACTTATAGTTATTTATACTATAAACACTATGACTACACGTCATATTTCCCCATTATTGCATTATATATGCATTATTGATCCATCCATCCATCCATTTTCATCCGCTTATCCGTTACCGGGTCGCGGGGGCAGCAGTCGCCACCCACATCACATTGCACTGTACCAACCCCCCTAAACCTTCCTGCGGGTGGTGAGTCCACTGGAAGGTATGCATTATTGATGTTATGTGAAAATATAGGAGGAATATTCAAAAGTTTCCGATTCACATCATAACATCAATATCGAAATGGAACTCTAGCAACAAATCAAGCACAACTTTGTCACTTGAAATGAAAAGAATGCAGTAGGCTATGCTTGAATTTAAAGACTAAGCTAAAATGTGACTTAATAATCAGAAAAAGCCTCATGCAGGTGAGACCATGCTGTTGCCGTGAGTCCACAGGTCAAGATAACGCAGGGATTTAAAATCTGCACTGAATTAAGCCAAGATCTTGTCAACAGCCATCACTTTATCTCACACCAAGTTAAAGGATTACAATGGAAGGTCTCAAAAATCCTCTGAGCTTCTTATTGTTGTCCATTGAACCTGGAGAGCAGCAGGAACAACGGGACCTAAAGAGATATCGATCCTGGGTCGGAATCAACGGGGAAAATCAACAAGGCTCCTGCAACCAGTGACCCTCGATCCACTGCTAATACCTGAGCAGCTGCTGAATGAAACAATGCTGAAACCTGTCTCTGACTGAGTCAATCCTCTCATGCACATCTGCGGAGGTAAGCACTACTAGCTAAATCCAACATCCAATGTGACAGTTATGATAGATGAAGGCCTTGTGCTGTACAACTGTGGCTACTAAGAGCATTGTACCAATTAATTCCACATAAGAACAGTATTAGTGAATATCATATTTTGTTTACAGGCAATTGTGATTTTATTGTGATAAGCAACTTTTTTGTTAACATAAAAATACCAATAAGTGGAATTTTGAAAGTTTAATTGTCATTATCAAGTTGCGAACTCTACAATTGACAGTGAAATGAATACTGGTAAAAAAAAATGTAACACATCACAGTCATCACTTGAACATCAGTCTTATATATTGTACTTCTGAACTCTTTTTTGGTCAAGGCAGGAGGGGAACCTAAATTTTGATTTATATTTTAAACCAAAGCATATCATTTTATTTTTCAGGCCCATTACCCCCATTAGGGTCTTACAAAGTAAATCCAATTCATTTTATCTTTCACAGACATTTTATGTGCCATCTTCATGACACTAATATCTCTTCTATTGAAATATTCTGCCATTGCTGCAGTTTCATTTGATAGAAATCAATGTTTATACTGCTGGGAACATAAAAATCTAATCAAGTGCACTCCAGGTAATTACCGTTTTGTTATGTGATAAAAATACTTATCTTGGATTATTACTTAAAAGGGACTTCTGATGAAAATATTATCAAATAATGGTTGAACATCTGACAAGGACAGATTTAAGGTTCTGAAGAATAGTTGCCGATTTCCCCTGCAGAAAAACAAATGGAAATGAGTACCAAAGGTACAAAGTTATGGGTACTTCAGATCTACAGAGACATAAAATAGGTCGTTGGGTACTTCAGATCTACAGAGACATAATATTGGCCGCGGTCAGGCTGGTGAATTTTAATAATAGGTTTTTATTCCACTTACTGTAATTTGTAGACAGACCTTCAGTTATGTCGACAGATTAGATGAAAGGAAACTTATCAGAGCCTTTAGGTAAAATCTCCTGTAATAGGCCGAAAACCACGAAAAAGCAGAAGAAGACAAAGTCTCTGCTGTAATTTTTCTAGGCCTATCTAGACATCAGAGCTGTGGGAGCAGAACCTGACAAACTAGAGTCAGACAAAGCTGTCTCATGTAAGAGATAGCAAGCAATAAATAGTACTAGAGACCAGGAGCCTGTGCAGCTTCTCCTCAACTACAGGTGCAAGAAACTATCTTAGGCATTCAGTATCAGATTGAAGAAAGAGGCACCGGGGCATTTTCAGTTTCACTGTGGCCTTTAGTGATGAAGTCTCTGACAGCAACTCACCTGACGATGCACAGGTAAGAAACACAACTCTATCTGCTGATATGTCTTTCTGTTTCAGCATTATATGTATAGAACAGGTAAAAAAAAATCTCAACAATATTTATCATTGTGGAATTTTGAAAAAAAAAAGCCTGGATTAATCAGAATTAACTGTGACACGGGGTCTTTAATCTCAGATTAATCTAATTTAGCCCATCCTAGTTTTTTTTTTCCCTCGTGAGGGTCTCCATGAAATAACCAAAAATGACTAGTATAACACTTGCACTGTTGTTTCTAGAAGTTCAGACCAAGTCTGTCTCACTGTTGTAAATACTTTCACATCACATGCACACAAAAACACAACTCAATAAGGCTCAGGGGTCATTCTAATTTTCTTCTTCTTTTCGTGCAAGGAAACTAAAAGCCCATCAGCCCAGGCCTCGATGCAAGGTCCTGGAGGAACTACTGTGAGAGAGTGTAGTCGCCTGTCGGCCCATAAGGAATTTGTTTTTAGCTGGCAATCACTTAAATAAGGTATAAAGCAGCAGTGACCCAGCATTTGTGTATAAAGTGTATAAAATCTCACTATGAGAATAGCCAAGAATGATATTTTTAAGGAACTAGGAATAGGAAAATTAAGGGAATAGGAAAAAAAATCAGCACACTAGAAAAAAAAATTGGAGTTGGTTTTTATTTTGTATGCAGAGGTGCTGGCAACTATGTGCATCTTTCTATCAATATGCAAATACCAAAAATGGATTTGTCAGGCTGCCTCGGTGGTGTCAGGGTTAGGTGTGAGTCAGAATAAAAAAAACAAAAACAAGAATGTTTTCTTTCATTATAACATAGCACAGTTAAAAATGTGCCAAGGTGGGGAAGGAGTTATTAAAAGTCGCTGCTGAAACAGTTAGGTCAAGGATACTGGATGTGGAACTCCTAGGTAATACACCTACTCTGATTAACTCGGTGTCAAATGAACATGAATTATCATCCTTCTCTTGAATTGCTTTTTCTCTCATTTGCTTCCTTATTTATTTCCTATTCTGTTTTGTCCTTGTCATTTTTTATTTCTGTGTGGTGTCATCACTTCCTCGCAATGCACTTTGTTAGCAGTCAGTACTTTTTGTTGTTTTATTTATTTATTATATTTTTCAGAATTTATGCACAACATTGAAAAGTAACTAAATGTATAAAACCCCATGTGGCCAATTTTAATTTCTATTAATATATTACAACGATAGTTGAATGGAAAGTTCAGATTTGACAGTTTGGATTTAAGCATTATTAAAGCTTTCCATTTACAGTATGTCACAAAAGTGAGTACACCCCTCACATTTCTGCAGAGATTTCATTATAATGTTTAACTGAACAACACCGAAGAAACATCGCTTTGACACAATGAAAAGCAGTCTGTGTAAAGCTTA